ATAAGATAAATTCAGTATTCAGAGATAAGTGCAGTATTCAGAGATAAATTCAGTATTCAGAGATAAGATAAATTCAGTATTCAGAGATAAGATAAGTTCAGTATTCAGAGATAAGATAAATTCAGTATTCAGAGATAAGTTCAGTATTCAGAGATAAGATAAGTTCAGTATTCAGAGATAAGTTCAGTATTCAGAGATAAGTTCAGTATTCAGAGATAAGATAAGTTCAGTATTCAGAGATAAGTTCAGTATTGAGAGATTAGATCTGAGGAAATCTAACAAACAGAGTTACAGAGTTATTAATTCTCTCTGGATCACAGTCACTCACTTGTTGGTTGTGACTAAGATGAGCAGCATGATGCAGCAGGGAGCGAATCTCAGAGGAACCGTGTAGGTGAAGATCTGCAGCGCCACAGAAACTGTTAACATGATCATGTCGTTGATCACCAGGTGGATGTAGAGCACATACCTGCAGGAGAGGAGAGAGCATCAGCAGAATGGATCTATAATAAACAACTGTAGTTCAGTGAGAAAGTCACCTGGGGTTTCTGTGGAAAACCTGGTTCTTAAAGTAGATGTAGACAAAAGCTACGTTGACGCAGTTGATGATGAAGCCGAGAGTGAAGGTGATCAAGTTCTTCGACAGAGCTTCGTTCTGACTGTCCAGACGTTTGCTGGAGTTCATGACGGTTCAGCTCCGCTCAGTCAGAGCTGCACAATCACCAGACACAATCATTTATAGTCTTTAATTACATGAAATACATTTTCTCCAATCCTCACATCTCATGCAAAATGTTCATTTCTTCTTCGACAGAAGAAAAACTAAATAAGAACCTGAATGATTTCCAAGCAACATTGGCAAAAGTAAATATCTTCATAATAAGACGACAGTTAAATTGTGATTGATGTAAATAAAAATACATACATAGGTTACAATCTCACAGATAGAAAACAAAAATGAAATATCACATTGTCAAAGGTGAATATCATAAAAATGAATGAAAGAAAAAAATAAGGTGTTGATTTTTTAACTTAATGTACAGTTTTATTTAACTTTACTTCAAATCATTTTATTTTCTGTTTATCTTGGTAATATTCGGATGAATAAAATCCTGCTGCCACTGAAATATTCTGATTAATGTTAAGTTTAAATAATGAAACTTACTTCAGCAGTGTGACGTGTGGAGCTGGTCCGAACGTGAGTCGAACAGGAAGAGATGATGAGGTTTTATAGATTTCACTGCTCAGAATGTGACGTGTAGAGGAGGGGGACAGCAAAACTGTCACGTCAGTTTTTAATGTGGAAGAGTGTAAAACACTGTGTGGTAAATATTTGAATCCATTTTAAATCCTAAACACACATTTTATTGACGGGAGCAGCCGAGAAACTGAAGCTCATCAAAGTCAATTCATAGTTATTTGAATTTATAGTTTATCTGTTTATCATCGTGAAAGACTCAGTGATTTACTGATCGGTTTTACAGAATAGATCACATGTGGATTTATTTTATTCTTATATGACGTATGATCAACTACACAGATGTGACTTGTTGAAATGAAGCTGAGTGAGTTCTGGTTGTGATTACATTTCATTTTTTATATTTAATATTCTCTCTGTTACATTGAAACGTCACTCTCTCATGATTATACAGGTTCACAAATGATTGTGGAAGAACCTGCAAGATTACAACACAGTTACCGTCATGCTTTGTCTAAGAGTCTTTATGAACACATTTAAAAAACACCTGGCACAGTTTCTGGAGTAGGATTTGATGTCAGTCGTCAAATAACTTCAGATTTTCACCTGGAGCTCATTTGTCCACTCACTCAAGACTCAGGTGTTGATCTTTGGATATGAACGAGATAATGAATATATCTGTTGTACTCAGGAAACAAATTCATGTTTCGAAAGTCACCCTGAGTTCATCGTGTTTCTGCAGAGGAGGGATTCAAACCACACTCCGATTTGTCCGATGTGGTTATTTCACCTTCAGGTTGACCTTCTGAACCACCGGCCTGACCCTGACGACACCGAGGCCTCGACAAGCCAGGGCCCGGGACCAGTACTTCCTGAACAGCTCGTCCCGGAAACCATATATGATGGGGCTCAGGAAGCGAGGGATGATGTAGACGAGCAGGAAGAAGATGTAACGAATCTCCAGGCTGAAGCGAGGGAAGAGGGAGATGAGCGCCGCCTGCAGGGAGGGAACCACGAAGGCGAGCATGCAGAGCAGCAGCTGAGAGACACAGGGATGAAGAACAGGTCAGAAAAATGTAATAGTTATATAATCAAGAGTAAAGTTAGGTTTGTTTTTCATGTGCACGAAAGCCGTAAGTCAAACTTTCCTATTTACCCCAAACAAGAGAAGTTAGTGTGCAAATTGATTCTTAAGCTTTCTTTTGCAGTTTCATGAGAGATACTGAACATTTCAATGTGTTTTTCATAAGAAATCTACATTTGTGAGTTGAACACGGCTCATGTGGTTTCAAACTCTCCTGCAGGGTCAATGGTTATGTAGAGGCGACAGTTGGGGACGCTGACGGAGGAACCTGACGGAGGAACCTGACTTCATCCATTTGTATTCATGATCTCACTCTTTCTGTAACTACCCACAGTTCATGTGTGTCCATCTCACACTCCATCGTCCTCGAGCTCACGAGCAAGACCCCAAATACTTCAACCTCAGGCTGGAGAGAACAATCCACAGAGAACCAAATAATTATATTTGCACACTGAAAGGTTTGAATCTACATACTTAGTTTTTGTGATTGTTAGGATTGTTTTATTTTGGGCGGCACAGTGCTGCAGTGTTTGCCTCACAGGAGGACGGTTCCTGGTTTGAATCCTGGTTCGGCCCGGGTCAGACTCTGTGGAGTTTGCTCGGTTTCCCCTCAGAGTCCTGACACATGCAGGCTGGGTTGATTGGAGACTAAATTGTCTGCTGATGTGTGTGAATATTTGTTTGTCTCTGTTGACCCTGGCGACCTGTTTTCTCCGTCTCTCGCCCAATCTCAGTTGATCGGCTCCAGCCTCCCCCGGTACAGATGGTGGATGGAGGTTGGGTTAGGGGAGCTCACCCAGGGCACCATACTCTCTAAAACCACCACGGTGTGACACCCACCTGGACCCCGTGGAGCACCACGGTGTTCCTCGCTCTCTTCACCGAGGCCAGGCCCGTGGAGGCCGCCCTGGCCGTCAGCATGATCTTACAGTAAGTGAAGAGCAGCGTCAGAGCCACGCACGACAGGTACGTCCCGTCAAACACGCAGTTCTTGTAGTAGATGGAGCGGTCGCGGAAAAGAAGCGTGTGGTCGCAGAAAATGGTGGCGTGGAAGAAACTGGGGGGCTCCTTGACGAGGGCGACGAGGAGGTCGGTGACGGGCGGGGTGGCGGTGAGGAAGAAGATGATGCAGATGAGGAGGAGGGTGCGAGGCACGGTGCACATCTGGCTGTAGTGCAGAGGGAAGCAGATGGAGATGTAGCGCTCCACCGCCATGCCGGCCAGGATGAGAGGGGTGAAGCGGGTGGTCAGGACCGCCGTCATGATCTGAGAGGTGGTGGTCAGAGGAGTCAGGTTAGTGTGCATCAGGAAAGGACAAGCAAGGACTTATCTGAGCCTCCCGAGCTGAGAGGGGGCCCCTGGAAATGCCTGATTACGTTAATCCACAGGAATTACAGGTACCTTTTGCCCGGGGCCCTTTAAAGCCCCCTGAAATGCTCCAGAGTTCAGAGAGGGTGAATTGGGAAGATATTTGCAACCTTTCTGAAATCTCTAAGATATTTTCACAGCAGAGCAAAGTTTTCCCTGTTTGCATTTTGAGAATAAGGTCGAAATGTGAAGAATAAAGTCAACTGCTCTGGTCCATTAAGTTGTTTTCTATCTTCCCAAGTTGTTTGTGGTTTCTCAGTCGTAAGAGATTTCAACACAATCTCAATCTGTCACAGTCTCCTGACACAGATCATCACCGTGTTTATGACTGAAGGACAAAGAATTTATCTTCACTAAAACTGGTTGTGAAGAACATTTATATATTATTATCATTATTTATATATTCTTAAACACTGGACATTAATCTTGATATTTTTCTACTTTCAACATCTCTGAAATTAAAAAGAAGATTGTCCATTGATCCAGGACAAATGGTAAAAGTCCTGTTGATTAAATGTTTAACTTCAATCGTCCCAGATTCCTCCTCCTCCTCGTTTCAATGATTCCTCCTCGGAGCGTTTCAGCGAGTGTTTTTCAGACTGTGTGAACGTGGTGTTGATGTGGTGCTGATGGTGCTGACTCACCAGGAGGCAGCAGACGGAGGTGTGGATCTTCCTGAAGATGTAACTGGCCACGTACAGAGCTGTGACCAGGGTCAGCTGCAGAGCGTCGTTTATCACCATGCAGATGAACATGATGTATCGAGGGTTCTCAAAGAAGAGGCTGCGGTCAGAGAGGGAGAACTCTACACGTCACACACTGCAAATAATGACTGTTATATATAAGTACATTATTAATATCTACATTATTCTCTTTATGAATCCATTTATTGTTTGGTGCAGTCAAACCATTTCAACTTTATATGTATTTATCTTGACAAACTAAAATACAGTCGTTTACTGAATCATGCACCAAAACCTCACAGTGAAGAAGGAACGTGGGATAATTCTGTGCCTGAGTGAATGATCAAAAACTTTTCCACTTTCTGTCAAATGATCTTCTGTGTATGAACTAATCAACTAATCAACTTGTGGCTTCAGCTGCAGGTTACAGGACAGAGACCCTGAACAAAGTGGACTCAAGTAAAGGAAAAGATTTCCCACGATGAGAAACACAAATGATAAAAACTCCTCCTGCATCACTGAGCTGTTTTCTAATTTTGTAATTTGATTACTTTGCTCATTTGATTATGTATTTGCTGACAGGTCAACTTCCATTTTTTATTTTACTATTTTTATTTTTTTCAAAACAAATAAATCAATGAAAGGAACTAAACACATTTATTCACATCGCTGTGTGTTTGAAGTTTCTGTGTTTGGATGAAGCATCGTAATGTTTGAACGGAGATAAAACCTGAAACACGTCAGGATTACGCTCTGTGTTCTGTGCACCTGTGTCGGAGGAAGGTGAGCACCATGCTGCTGTTGATGACACTGAGGGTCAGCCACACCAACATGGCCACTATGTTCTTGGTCAGAGCATTAGAGAAGCTGTCTTTCGGTACAGCCACAGCGCCCCCTGTCAGTGTGAAGCTGCTGTTACTCAGCAGCAGGCCCAGAGGGCTGGAGGAGGTGGAGTTGAGCATCACTGAAGAAACACAAATCAAAAGGTTTTACAGACAAATACAAATGCAAAGTTTTATGGTTGAATTCTGCAGCGAGTAAGTGTAATGATAACAGATTTTAATGTTTTAAATTAAAGACTCGCTACAAGGTGTATTTTCTGATATTTTTCCACGCATGAGAGAGTTTGAGTTGAATATTCTTTCCAGGAGGACATGCATGTACATTGTGTTTTATAATTATGACACAAAATCCACGCAGGGCCGTATGAAAGACACGATGACGTTTGTAAGAAATAAAGACATCGAAATATTGTGATGACTTATAATAAACGCAAATAACCTGTAAATATCTACGAGCATTCACACGTGTTCAGGAGGTCATGGTTCTGGAAGATCAGAGATAATTCATTTGTTAAGTTCACAAAAACTAAAAATATTCAAATGATTATAAAATGTGTTAAATACAAACTGATGTTGTCAGACACATGTACAATATTAATAAAAAAATTGTACGACATGTGTAAAGACTTACTTCACTCAGCGTCTCACAGATATTCAGTGTCTGCGAGGAAAAGATGAAACACATTAGAGCAGAGGAAACTCTGAGACATCCACAACAAACTTATTTTTATATATTTACAACATGTCAGAAAGAAATGAGTGAAACTTCAATCACTGACAGTCAGCTCCTCTCCGAGTCACTGACTGTCAGTGACTCCTGCAGCAGCCTGAGCCCTGTTTATAAGGTGTGTGTGTGTGTGTGTGTGTGTGTGTGTGTGTGTGGTCTGTATTGATCATGTCGTCATAGGGATAGGTTAAAGGTCATGATTGAGTTCTTCTGAGCTGAAGAGAGAGAGAGAGAGAGAGAGAGAGAGAGAGAGAGAGGTGGATATGTGCATGTCTCTCAGAGAGCATCTGCACCGATGACCAGTTACTGGTGAGTTATTATTATTAATAATATGTAAACTTCACGTGCACAGTTTTTAAACCAAACATGGACAGGGTTCAAGTTACAGGAGCTGTGGGGGGGGAACCCCCTGCTCAGTTCTTAAATACTCCGAAAA